TTTTTTTTTTTTTGGAGAGGTTTTTGCTATAGGGCGCATGCGCTCACCAGAAATCTAGAGAGACAGAGAGACAGAAAGCGAGAAATCATCCCCCAGGGAGGTTGGCCACACCGCAATCCCTTCTCCTCCATTCTCCTCTCGGGATCTTGGACACGCACGCACACACGCCCGGCGTGAGTTTAAGCCACCGGGTCCGGGACGCGAACCGCGGTCCACTACATGGGAGTCCAGCAACGTAGTCATTACCCTAACTGCTGGTCCCGAGTTATTTAACATTTTTGAAGGCGCCGTCGTAATGTCTGGCAGAGTTAACCCCCGCCCCAATTCGGATGTGCCTAGTAGAACTCATTCCCACCCAGGCCTCGTGGGCCGCTCCCGAAACCGCCTTCGCCACTTGGGGACAGGATTTAGCCCGAGGCCCCGGCCTGGCGCCTAGATCCGCCATCCGCCAAGTCTACCCCCATGAGCGGACTCAGGGGCACCCCTTCCGCCGCCCGGGCCCACTCAGTCCCCGACCCTCCCCCGGCCACGCGCGAACCCGCTCAGACGCGGCCACCAACCCTCTCCGCCGCCTCGATGAAGAAAAAGAGGACGGCGGAACCGGAAACCACCGATTCGCGGCCGAGCGCGCCTGCGCACCAAGCACGTCGCGCGCTAGCGTCACAATTCGCGCCGCACGTCGGACCCCCCCCCCGACGCCATGTTGGATGCTGGCGAACGAAGCCGCTGAGCAGGAGGACGAGCGTCGCCAATGGGCTTCCGGGCGAGCGGGCCCCGCCTACTCGATCACGTGAGCAAACGGCCACGCCCCTTCACGTGGTAGGGCTTTGGTCCTGCGGGGATACTCAGGAAAGAGCAGTTTTTGGCTAAAGCGAAGGCATTACTGGAGTAATTAAGGGGCCAGCAGGTAACGTGACGTAATAGTTGAGGTGCTGGACTCCTACGTAGATGATTGCGGTTCGAATCCCGACCCCGAAGACTTGCTTTCTCACATTCCCTCTCTCTCTTTCTCTCATTCTGTCTCTGTGTGGTCAAAAATAAATAGGAGCCAGCAGGTGGCATGGTGGTTAAGGCTGCTGGACTCTCACATGGCTATCACTAGTTCGAGTCCCAGATCTGGAAGCTTGTTTTCTCACTTCCTCTCTCTCTCTCTCTCTCTGTCCCTCTCTGTTCAAATTGAAATACATAAATAAAATAAAGTTCAAAATAAAATAACGTTCAATTAAAAAAGAAAAGAATAATTGCGGGTCTGGCAGGTGGTGGTGGTGAAGGGTTCTGGATTCCCACATAGCTAACTGAGGTTCAAGTCCCGGACCTGGCTTTCTCACTTTCTCTGTCCTGTCCTTCTGGTCAGATTAAAATAAATAAATAAAAGTTAAATAAAGTCATTTTAAAAATAAATAAGTAAAATAATTCAAACAACAACTACAACAAAAATACAGGACTTGAAGGCAGGGAAGGTAGGAAACTTACCAGCTGGTTGTAGGAGACCCCTGGGAGCCACGGAAGGAATCCAACCCCGAGAGGAGAGGTGGTCCTTAGAAAGAGCTGATGTGGGAACCAGCAGTTGGCATAATGGCTATGTCGCTGGACTCCCCTGTAGTGGACTGCAGTCTGTGTCCCGGACCCGGTGGCTTAAACTCACATCGGGCGCGTGTGCGTGCGTGCCCAAGATCCCAAGAGGAGAATGGAGAAGGGATTGCGGTGTGGCCATCCCTGGGGGGGGGGGTTGATTTCTCACTCTCTGTCTCTCTGTCTCTGTCTTTCTGACAAACGCACGTGCCCTATAGAAAAAGCTTCTCCAATAAATAGATGAATGAATGAATGAGTAAATAAATTTTTTTAATTTTTATTTAACTTTATTATGATCATTATTATTTTCCAGTTTGATCAGAGAGAGACAGAGAGAGAGGAAGTGAGAAAGCAAGCCACCAGTCTGAGATTTGAACTGTGGTCGGTCATGTGGGAGTCCAGCGCCTTTAACCACCATGCCACTTGCCGGCCCCTCAAATTAATTATTTTAAACCAGAAAATTTGATAAAGTGTTGGCTGCTATTCACAGATTTCAAGGTGCCACCTATGGGAACAGGTGGAGCAGGTGGGAATGGGTCATTAGCCCCCCAAAAAATGGGTGGGGTGGGGTCCAGGGAAAGGGGACAGGTGACACCAAGGTCTTTTGTTTTTGGAGAGGTATTTTTTTCTTTTTTTGCTATAGGGTGCGTGCGCTCACCAGAGAGACAGAAAGTGAGAAATCACCCCCCAGGGGGGATGGCCACGCCGCAATCCCTTCTCCTCCATTCTCCTCTCGGGATCTTCGGCACGCACGCACACGCGCCCGGCGTGAGTTTAAGCCACTTAATCTGGGACTGAACAGTGGAACTATGTGGGAGTCCAGCGACATAACCATTGCGCCATCTGCTGGTTCCTCATTTTTTTTTAAAGAATTATTTCTTTTTAAGAATTATTTAACTTTATTTATTCATTTGTTCATTTTAATTTAACCAGAGAAAGAGAGAGAGAGAGAGAGAAAGCCACTAGGTCAAGGACTTGAACCATGGTCGGCCATGTGGCAATGTCCAACACCTTAACCATTATTTAACTTTATTTATTCATTTGTTCATTTTAATTTAACCAGAGAAAGAGAGAGAGAGAGAGAGAAAGCCACTAGGTCAAGGACTTGAACCATGGTCGGCCATGTGGCAATGTCCACCACCTTAACCACCATGCCACCTGCTGGTCCCCAAGAATGATCTATTTTAATTTATTTATTCATCCATTTTATTTTAATTTGACCAGAGAGAGAGAAAGAGGAAAAGTGAGAAATCAAGCCACCAGGTTCGGGACTCGAACCATGGTCAGACATATTGGGAGTGTCCAGCACCTTAACCATCAAGCCACTTGCTGATCCCCTGCCCCGTTGTTTTTTAAAAGCAAAGTGAGAAATCACTCCCCAGGCGGTATGGCCCCGCTACAAATCCTTCTCTCTCATTCTCCTCTTGGCATTTTTGGACACACACAGTATGATCTGTCAAGCAGCTGGGGTCCAGGCACTGCCATTGGTCAGGTGGAAATCCAGTGTCCCAACCACCACATGACCTGCTAGATCCCTGAAGAGAACATTTTGCCAGAGCTCATGTGGGCTCAGCAGAAAGGGCCAGCGGAAAAAAGAAAGCACACCTCTTCCGACCAGCAGGTGGTGTGGTGGTTAAGGTGCTGGCCACTCCCACATGGCTGACCACAGTTTGAGTCCCAGACTTGGCAGCTTGCTCTCTCACTCCTCCCACCAGACAAATTAAAATAAATGAATTAATAAATAAAATCAAAGAATAATTAAATAAAAGAAATAAAGAAAGCACACCCTCATGCTTGGGACAAATCATTCTTTTTTTTTTTTGGAGAGATTTTTGCTATAGGGTGCGTGTGCTCGCCAGACAGACAGAGAGAGATAGAGAGACAGAAAGCGAGAAATCACCCCCCAGGGGGGATGGCCACGCCACCATCCCTTTTCCTCCATTCTCCTCTTGGGATCTTGGGCATGCACGCACACGCGCCTGGCGTGAGCTTAAGCCACTGGGTCTGGGACGCGAACCGCGGTCGACTACATGGGAGTCCAGCGACATAGCCATTACGCTAACTGCTGGTTCCTGGAATAAATCATTCTTGGGGGAAAGAAGTCAGGGCTAACTATTCTTCTTAGTATTGGAGATATTTTATTGAGAACTTCCCAACAGCATCTGTAAACATCGGGTACAAAAATATTCCATGTAACTCTATTTCCCAAGGTGGCCTGGCTGGAGCCTTGGAGGCTCTCTGGGCTTTCGGGGTTCACCCCTGCTCAGAGAAACACAGGCCTCACCAACTTGGGCAGAGGGTATAGCCAGCCTCTATCAGGGATCTTCTCCCTGCTTCTTTTTTTTTTTTAATAGGCCATAGATTAGTTTATTTTTAACACCCATCGTGCCATGAATTCATAGGGAATAGGTTCCAGTAGCTCAGGCTCCTTTCCATTGGTTCTCACAAATTGTGCTTCTCTGGGTGGAGCAGGCTGGCCCTTTAGTTGAACCCAGGTACCTTTCTCTTTGGCTTCCTTCTTTTTCTGATCATTTTCCTTCACACGTTTAAGGAAGCTATCTCTGCTCTTAGAATGTTTAATATGCTCAATATGCACATTAATTCTCTTGGCAAGAATCTTGCCCTTAACTTGTTTGTTCACAACAATGCCAACAGCATGCTGGGTAACTAGGGTGCGCTCGCCAGACAGAGACAGACAGAGAGACAGAGAGTGAGAAATCACCCCCCAGGGGGGATGGCTACGCCACAATCCCTTCTCTTCCATTCTCCTCTTGGGATCTTGGGCACGCACGCACACGCGCCTGGTGTGAGTTTAAGCCACCGGGTCTGGGACGCGAACCGTGGTCGGCTACGTGGGAGTCCAGCGACATAGCCATGACGCCAACTGCTGGTCCGGTCGCCATGGTCACACGTGTGGGGCATTCCTTTGTGAACAGCACCCATTCCCTTAATGTCTACGATATCACCCTTCTTGTAGATTCGCATGTATGTTGCCAGAGGAACCACTCCATGGTTTCTAGAAGGTCTAGCGAACATAGATCGGGGGCCTCTCCTCTTCCCTTTGTGTTCCCCATTTTGGTGAATTACTGGAAGAAGGCGGTCCCGGCCAAAATGAAGTTCTCCCTGCTTTTCGAAGCCTGGAGAGACACGTCAGAGAAAGTCCGCGATTCTTTTGTGGGAGGAAGGGGGCCGGGCGAGTGAGACCAGTGGGTGCAGGGCCAGGACGGGGTGAGCTCAGAGGTGATTATGGTGATGTTTCACTAAAAGGAGACCCTGACCTTGGGACACGGGGGGTGCGGTCTGGCTCTGGTGTCTGGGAACCCATTAAGGCCTGGAGACGGTCCTTTGAGCCCGCTCCAGAACCCCAGCTGGAATGGGGGGGCGGGCCCCGGCATGGCAAAGGGGTCTGCGAGATAGAGGTGCTTCTAAGAGCAGAAGAAGCAGGAATTCAAGCCTACACCCCCTCCCAGGAACTCTATGTCCCTTGGGAGGGGATGAGAGAACAGGGTGGCAAGCTGATGACCTAAGACGGGGTTACCCACCACCACCTGTGACATCTGGGACCGGCCGCTGCTGCCCAGGGCCCCCCGGGGATGCCAGGAAGCAGGGCTACTGGCCCGGCATGTCTTCCTCGTCATCTGTCTGGCTGCGTCCATTGACGGCGGGCGAGCCCGGCCGGACGTGGGACAGGTCCTCGAAGCCGGGGCTGAGCGAGGGCGAGACGGTGTCGGGACTGGTGTCGCAGGATCCGGTGCTCTGCTCCGAGGTGGCGATGGTGGTGGTGGTGCTAGGTGGGATCAGGTCCTCATCCTCGTCTTCCAGGAGGGACGCCTCGGGGATGTCTGCAGGGGGGAGGAAGCCCCGGAGGTGGTTCAGCTGCAGGGCTGGGGACACCTGGGTGAACCGGTGGGTCCCTCGAGGGGCCATTTCACACAGGAGGAAACTGAGGCCCAGGGCCGAAAGGTGGCATGGTAGCTAAAAGCCTTGGACTCCCACATGGCTGACCACGGTTCGACCTGGCGGCTTGCTTTCTCACTCCCCCGCCCCTCTCTTTAATCTGTCCTTCTCTGGTCAAAAGAGAATAAATAAATAAATAATCAATTATTAAAACATTAAAAAGAATTATTTAATTTAATTAAATTAATTTATTTATTTATTTTTGAAGTTGACCAGAGAGACAGACAGAGAGAAGCAAAGTGAGAAAGCAAGTTGCCAGGTCCGGGACTCAAACTGTGGTCAGCCACGTGGGAGTCCAGTCGCCTTAACCACCAATGCCATCTGTTGGCTCCTAAAATCATTCTTTATTTTTTAATTTAATTTTTTTTTTTTTTTGGAGAGATTTTTGCTA